CTGGGATTAAAGGCGTGCGCCACCAACGCCCGGCTAAGATTACTTGTTTGAATTTTACCTAAACTGTCACATAAACTAGTCCAAAGTTATTGACTTGGGGGGTATCTTTTTATGAAATGGAAGAGTCTAAGTCAGACATTTAGATGAGAAAGATGAATAAATATTATTGGTTTTTTTTAAAGAATTATTTATTTATTATGTATATGGAAGAGGGTGCCAGGTCTCATTACAGATGGTTGTGAGCCACCATGTGGGTGCTGGGAATTGAACTCAGGACCTCTGGGAGAACAGTCAGTGCTCTTAACCTCTGAGCCATCTCTCCAGCCCCTATTATTGGTTTTGAAGTGGATAATTTTACATAAATATTAAATGGCACCTCTAGCAATAATATTATGTGAGCTTTACTTTTTGTTATAAAAGGACACTACCTGTAAGGAGAAGTATGTGGCTCTTGTCAGATTTTACACTGTAGAAAAGATTTGAAATGTGGTTTTGGTCTGAATAAGGATAATACAATGAAACATTTCTTTTTTTGTTGTTTTCTATTTTGAGACAGGGTTTCTCTGTGTCTGCCTCTGCCTCCCAGGTGCTGGGATTAAAGGCATGTGCCACACTGCCCGACTATTGAAACATTTCTTGTCCACTAAGAGGCATGTTTCTTTCAGGTTATGAGAAGACAGATGATGTTTCAGAGAAGACCTCGCTGGCTGATCAGGAGGAAGTAAGAACCATATTCATCAACCAGCCTCAGCTGACAAAATTCTGCAACAATCATGTCAGGTAGGATAGGCTGGGGGAAGGCAGGGGAGGATGGGATGGTAGAGCAGGATGGGTGGGAAGAAAATGCCTACCAGGTATGGTAACACACACCTTTATTCCCAGGACTCTGGAGGCAGAGGCAGCTAGATCTCTGTGAGTTCATAGCCAGCCTGGTCTGTATAGTGAATTCCAGCACAGCCAGGGCTACCCAGAGAAAGGAACCCTGTTTCAAAGCGGGTGGGTGGGGTGAGTTACCAGGAGCTCTCGGTTCAGTTAGAAGGGTCTGCCATTCTAATGTTTTCTATCCACGAAAGAAACGCTGGCCCTGGTGTGACTCATGCATGATAGAATGCTTTGTCTGCCATTTATAAAGCTCTGAGTTCAATGACCAGCATCACAAAACAAAAAGAAAAAAAAAAAAAGGATAAAAATCAAAAGCCCCTGGATGTAGGAAAAAGTGGAAGGGACAAGCACCTAGACTCCAGGAGTTTTGAATAATCAAAGCTGCTTCTGGGCAATTGTCTCTCTACACATGTTAATGTAGCAGTGTATTGTTTTTGCATGCCAAGTTTTAACAACTTAGGAACAATTCTTGAAATTGTCTACCGAAAACTTTTGGAGGTTTGGTTTGTTTGTTTTAGCTAAAGTCTTAAAGTATGGGTTTGGATAGTTGTAATATAGCACATGTAATACAGCATGCTTGGCGAATGTCTTCCTTGCTGCAAGTGATAAGGTTTTAATTTCAACAGTCATGAAATGATTCCACATAAGTACTAGATTCTAAGTAGCTTTGGACCACATGAACACCCCAAGTGCTAGCTTGCTTTTCTCCAGGGGCAGACCTACCCTATTTGAGGTGTACCCATTTACAATTAGTATTTAAAACATTGGCGATCCTCTAGTAGTATCTCTGTTGAAGAGTATGACATGTATCTTTAACTTCCCCTCTGTTTATTAACAAGAGGAAGGAAGGCCTGGAGGTTTCCAAGGCCAATGTGTTCCTGTCTTTATTGATTCTGGCCAGCGTGGTGTCCTCACCATGTTCCTAGCATGGCCCTCGAGACAGTACAGGTAGAAAGCTGTTGGCCTGGCTATCCAGGAAGCTGCTCACACTGTCTGGTCTTGCTCAAAGGCTGATATGTTTCTGTTGATGTGTTAGTGCAGTATCTTATCTAAAATTACCTTTCTCTGCAAGTTACTCCTAGTACTGTTCAGCGTGATAACTGACCAGAGAAGACAAAGGGTGTTATAGAGAAACAAAGCTTATGAGTACATAAAAAGCTCAGTCTTGGCTGTTTATTTAGCCGGTGCCTTTCCCTTTTTTTCATTTACGTTACCAATCCCTCACTATAGTTTCCAAATTTGAAACTGAACAGATGTTGTCATCTGATTACTCCTGTGCTGGGAACAGAACTTTGAAAACATGGGTGCTGATTATGGAGGAGCTAAGCTTTATGCTTCTTTTTGTTTTTGCTTTCTAGTACTGCAAAATACAACGTGATCACATTCCTTCCAAGATTCCTGTACTCTCAGTTCCGAAGAGCAGCTAATTCGTTCTTTCTCTTTATCGCCCTGCTCCAGGTAAAGTTGCATCCATCTTCCAATGTCTGTTCAAAGCTAACATTCAAGAAGTAGAAAAGGCTTTATTAAATCTTCCACCAATGCCCTGAGGCTTATAGAAAGGCAGAGAGATTAGCTGGCCATAGTGCATATTCCCTACTGCTAGGGCTGCTGCATGCTAAGAGTATCTGGCCTCCTCCACCCTCTAAGCCTTTGGGTTCATGTTATTCAAACATTTGATATGGTCTATAAGTTTGATGGCAAGAAGTGTTCATTTTAGGCGTTGAAGGGAGGAGAGACTTTTCCCCCAAATTATCCAGTTAGTTTTATTTCAGTGAAAGTATCAATGCTGAATGGCTCACTATAAAAATTATTACTTCCAAAAATGACTGCTTAAGCTGGGTGGTGGTGGTACGTGCTTTTAATCCCAGTACTTGGGTGGCAGAGGAAGGCAGAACTCTGTGAGTTCAAGGCCAGCCTGGTCTACAAAGTGAGTTTCAGGACAGCTAGGACTGTTACACAGAGAAACCTTGTCTTGGGGGGGAAAAAAAGACCATTTGGTTAGTTTTCACAAATGTTTTAAGAAAAAAATGCATTTAAAAAAAGCCACTGTTCACTGTTAGCAAAGGAGTTGAAAATGAAGCAAAGCATAAATAAAAATTAAACCAATTATTCCAGCACCAGAGGCCACTGCTCTTAAAATTGGTGTCTTCCGGTCCTCTTTGTGACTGCAAGCATCATTTTCTGATTTAGATAACAAAAAGAGATAGTGAAATGAACATTGTTTTGTAATCTGATTTATCCGTATTAAATGTGTAGACATTTCTACAGCTATTTGTTGCATCTCTACATCCTCACCTTGATGGTGATGTGTTTTATTATATGCTACTTTGTCTTTTTTCGATCTTGCACTGCATTATCACTCTGTACTGTGTATTTAGAATCAAGCAAATGAACTTGTTCGGCAGACACTTCACCCGAAACTAGTAAAGCCCGTGAGAAACGTTTGAGAAGGCCCTGTGGCTTTGTTCTTTTAGGTTGTTTTAACCCTTCTGGGTCTCACTGGTGTTATCCTGCCTTTTCTCTTATTCAGCAAATACCCGACGTGTCGCCGACAGGTCGATACACAACACTGGTTCCTCTCTTATTTATTTTAGCTGTGGCAGCTATCAAAGAGATAATAGAAGATATTGTAAGTATTTAATTTTTCATATGTCAATTACTCAATCGTATATTTTATTTTCTTAAGCTATTTAATTTACAGTATAGGCCCTTTAAAATGCCCATTCAACTTAAAGATGAACAGAATTGCATTTCTTTTCCTGAAGTCAATTTCTAACAGATTAATATTGAGGAATTTTTGGCACAGCACTCTCTTAGGTTTATAATTTATTAATAAAAGAAATACAGTAATTGGCATGAAAAAAAAAACTTGGACTTGAACATTGTTTCTGATTAATTGAAACAATCTCCAAATTAAATATAAAAGAAGTTTTTCATTTGTATTTTTTGTTTTTAAAGTTAAATATTATGGTTTTCACCTTATTAGATGCCTTGATTTCTTCTCATTCTATTTTAGTACTCTGAGTTTCCTCTGCATTATCTTGTCTTGTTGAAAGACAGTAGCAGTAAGTTTGCTATTTTTATCCTTCCATGGTAGAAAAGAGGAAGTCAGTTTCCCCTCATAAAATAAATTCCCCCAAATAACTTTAGACTTTTTCCGGATTCTATTTTAACTATCTTATCTGAAGAAGCCAATATTGGGTTTTATATTGTGGGTTTTTGATGATTTCAATTGTCTTACAGTACTTTTTTGCATGTCTAAAATAACCTCCTGTTGGGCTTTAGAAGAATTAGATTTGGGCCAGGGAGGCTGAGGAAGTCTGAATAAATGCACAGCCCCACATTTCACAAATAGTAATGTTACTTCTACAACCTTACTTCATTAATCTTATTAAAAAGATTAAAAAAACTAAACATAGCATCATATGGCCTGCTAGAATTGGAGAGATTGGGTGTTGCACCAGTGATCTCAAGGCTCTAAGTATTTAACAGTAGACTCCAAGGCTACTGTGTGTGTGTGTGTGTGTGTGTGTGTGTGTGTGTGTGTGTCTAAGACACTGTAGTCCTCTTGATTGGTGCTATCCTGCTTGGGCCCACAAGCAGGGAAATTGAAGGAATTCTCCTTCCTTAGCTTGTCCCCACGCACTTCCGTTCTGTAAGTTATGACAGGATTTGGCGGCCCCTGGAGACCAGTCCTCACTATAATTTTTTCGTCTTTCTTTGCCTCATGCACTCTTTTCTTTCTTTGTTAAACTTGATTTTTTTTTTTTCTGGAGCACATGTGATTCATTTGGCATTGTGCTATTGGTTGGGGGTTTGCTTGTTTATTTGTTTTTTACTCAGTAACTTCAAGGGTTCTCCACTTAAAGCATGGAAACCGAGTCTGGAGAGATGGCTCGGTGTTTGAGGTTGGGGCCTGCTCCAGTAGAGGACCCAAGTTTGCTTCGGAAAGCTCACAATTACATGTAACTTAAGTTTCAGGGGATCTGATATCCTCTTCTAGCCTTTGTGGGCACCCGTATTCATTCACACACACTCACACAAGATACGCAGTCATGCACATAATTTAAAATATAAATAACTTTTTTAAAAAAAAAAAACACATAAAATGCTCTACTAAAGAGTTTTTTAAAATACAAAATTAAAAAAAAAAGTCAAGGAAGCTGAGACTTTAAGAGGTCACAGACCTTGTCCAAGAAAGTGGTGAAATCAAAATGCCATCCCAGGTTGTGCTCTCAATATGGAGAGTCACAAGCAGAAATATCAGTAATATTTACTGTGCTTCTGATTTTCTGTGTACTTGTTCCCTGTTGCTTATGTTTATTTGAATGTATAGCACACCTCTAAGGTATTGCTTATTGTTAGGATCCACAGATCACCCCACAAAAGACCACACTACTCATGTATGCAAAGGCAAGAGTGTTTATTTCTCGAGAGAAGAATTCCTGCATGCAGGGGTCAGCCACACAATAAAATGGTGATGGCCCCCGGAGAAGCTCACAGGCTTCTTCTATAGACAACCAGGAGGGGATTAGGTCATCCTAAACATGATCGGCCAAGCAAGCGGCAGCCACACTGATGTGTTTCTGATTGTCTGGGGCTGTAAGTGCCGAATCATGCCTGGTATGCAATATCTTCCCCCCCTGCCTCATTAGAAACAGAAATTTAACTGAAACTCAGGCCTGTGAGAGACTGGGGCCAGGAGAAGCCCACTGTGGTGTCCTCTCAGTGATCTTCCCAGTTTCCAAATGAGAAAGAATAGTCAGAAGGGCAAAGTCACTTGCCCGAGGTCAACTCCCGGGAGCCAGAGTTCAATCATGGCAATTTAGATGGAGCTTTGTATGTTAGCCCTCATCATAGCTGCCTCCTCCACCTTCTCTTTGGTTTTATAGCAAAGCTGTAATTTCTGCACCTGTGCTATCTAGACACTGTTTTTCAAGATATACAGTAAATAAAAGTGTATTCAAGAAGTATCTTTAATAGAGCATCGTGCAATAACAAGATATCATTAGGAAGAAGCTAATCAAACAGCTCTCAGAAAATACAACCTTTGCATGGTGAGGCAGTAGTGATTTCACTTGACGGAGTTTACTAGCGAACTGTTATTCATAGACACTGGCTATAGGAAGGAATTGTTTAACATGTAGTGTATATTCAACAATGCAATTACAGAAAGTTTGAAATAATATTCCTGAGGAGAGAACAAAAGAAGTAATGGTTTAGGTAGCTGGACAAAGAACAATCACGACTTACATATTTTCACAGAGACTATAAGGACAACAGAAACATAAGGGCCCTGCTTAGGTGCCTATCAATTACTTAGGGTATAAATTAGGATGTGTTTAAACCTTGTCACATTGTTAATCAGTATGTCAGTGGCCTAATCTATATGCCTGTTATCTACTTACTGAAAGGCTAGAGACAAGTGGTCCCCAGAGACAGGGAGAGAGTACCCTTGTTCCATGTGGTCACTTGGGGATGCAAACTGAATTGAATCTCTACTGGGTAGAATGGTAGGGTTCGTTGTAGCAGAGAAGGATGGAGGAAATAGCCATGGCACTTCTCAAGTGCTTGGGCCATCAATGTTTACATTGCTTACAGCACTGTTTGCAGGTGTAAGAACTAACGGGGTGATAAAGAGATGCTGTCTTCACATCCATGCAAGTATAGAACTAGATGTTTGTGAGGACTAATTATGTCTTATGTCTTAGAGTTGTCTGTTAAGTTAGTATTCAGAACCATAAAAACACTCTTTTTTTTTTTTTTTTTAGCAGAGAAGTATTAAACATTAGTAGGTTTCATTCATTGCAAAATGAATACTTATTCAAAGTCTATGGGATGCAGATACCAAATATCTGGCACGTGCTACTGAGTAAAAGAAGTCGGGGTGGAGCTGAAAATCCAGTAGAAGAGCTAGTTGTGTGTTTAGTAAATAATTAATTAGCAAAGAAAGAGGGTGCTAGATAAAGTGACAGGGAGAAGAAAGTTCAAGGTGGCTTTAAGTTTCTGATTTGTAAAGACAAGTATACGTGAGCTCGTGGTTCCGTGTCTGGGCTAAGGTAACAGTTTACAGCACAGACACAGTTCCAGCCCCTTTGAAGCAGAGAGAGGTGGACAGAGACAGAGATCAGGGGGAGGGAGAAAGGCTGTGAGGGATGGACTGTGGACAGGCCAGGGAGAGAGGCTTGGTATGAAGGAGTTGAGCTAAGTAAAGGATGTAGGAGTGAGAAAGGGCAGGAACTAAACCTTGATCATCCTCGTCTCTGAAGAAGGGACCCAGTGCACCATGAAAACAATGCCTGGGAGAACAAGGTTTCCTGATCAAGGAGTCTGGGGCCGTCACTTTCTCAAGACACATTACAGGACCTCGCAAAGACAGCTTCCTTTCCTCTAAATGGAATCTAACTTGCCATTTCAGTCTTGTCAGGGGAATTAAATTTAAAAAAAAAAAAACAGCATTGTACATTTAAGTGTCTTAAAATTCATAACACTGTTCATATGATACCATTTATTGATACATTTTCTATCCAAAATGGAAAACAATAAACATCTCATCACATCTCAGTGATATTGAATGGATTTTGATAATAAGACAGTAGCATTGGAAATTAGAGAGTGACTACATTTTTTGTGAACTTTTAGTTTTAGAAGGAATAAAGATATCTTCATCAAAATGTAAATTCTTTGTATTTGGAAAGTTAGAAACTGGACACTGGCCTAATTTATTAGGTGGGGGAAGGTTGAGGACAAAGAGGCTCAGATTTAAGAATTTTTTTGTAGGTGGAAACTAATGTCCAAGGCCACTTAAGTTTCATAAAGTTTCATTTCTTGTTTGATTTGAAATGTTTATTAATTAGCTTATATCTCCATCCGTTAGGAGTCTAACCATTGTCTCTCATAGATGCGTATGGGAAAGCATATGTATACCTTCTTTTACTATCTAAATTCACCTTGGACTTAAAAATTCTTGGACCAAACTTATTTTGGATCACTTTTTCAAATTTTCTTGTAATCTTTTTTAAGAAAGAAACAGCAACAGAAAAATATTTGGAACTTTACAATTGTTAATATAAATACAAAAAGATTTAAATTTTTTATTTCAAATACCCTTCTAACAAATTATACTTTCTTCCAGAAGCAATAATATTCCCATGAGATTGCTTCACCATTACACATGTATTGCAGGTAGTTTGCCCTGAGAAAGACTTGCGGTGTAGATGTGTAAGAATCATGCTCCTCACAGCGGGACTTCAGTGCTGTTTGTAGGTTGCACAGTTCAGTTCATACTTTGATGACCTGAGTCTACACTGTCAGCTCTTACTCCACCGTCTCTGATACAGCCATGGCTCCGAGGCGTGCCGACTCCACACGTTTCTCTTGGAAAACTTTTTCCACTAAGCTTCTTCAATACCCTGTTTTTCCTCAGACGGAAAACTTAGGCACTTGTGGCATTTGTTCTTTGTTCTCACATGGAAGTACAAGCCTTGGCTTTCTAAGATAGGATCCTTGAGCAAAGGACTCGTTACACTCAACACTTCGCTGCCTTGTTGCCCGAGTCTGGGTGTGGCTTCCTCCATGCTGTAAGTTTAGACGGAAGCCGCAGGAGACCTCCAGCTGAACTACAGAGGAGATAGTGACTCCTAGAGTGGCCGCTGGCCACGAGCTTCTCAGCTTTTTTTACTCTTCTAAAACCTTGGTTTCTGTAACTCTCCAGCCTCACCTGCCTCAACTTAAAAATCACCTGCTCACCATTTAGTTTCTCGGGTGCTTCGGGGAGGAAGAAGAATAGAATCTATTACTCGGTGGCATCTGGTGGCACATGGGGGTCCTGTGGAGCAGTGAAGACAAGAACCTGGATTAAAAGGGATGGATGTGCTTGTTTCAAGTTGTCGACAGACATCAGCGCATCTTCAAATTATGGAGGGTGTATTCAGCTTCATCAGATAATGAGTTTCCCAAAAAGCTGAAAATACTTCAATCCCATTATTAAATGGTAGTTTTTATAGATAATTCTCCTGGGCAATCTTCTCTGTGAGTTATTTAAGCAATAGACTAAATCAGACTTTGGCTTCTTCTTTTTTTTTTTTTTTTCTGGTAATATTAAAATGTTGTTCTACCTGTTTGCTATTTAAGAACTTTCTGGGGACCCCAAGCCTGTGCTGCCAGGGAGGGGCACTGTATGATGAAGCTGTGAGTGGTCTAACAACACCCCCATCTATAAGCGTAGAAAGGGAAAAACCTGGAGAACTTAAGTGAAATGACCTTTGTTGGTCGTGAGTACCATTTTATGCTACCAAACTTGTTCATTTTTTCACTGAGGTTTTTGTTTTGTTTTGTTCTGAACTTTAGAAACGACACAAAGCCGATAATGCGGTGAACAAGAAACAGACACAAGGTAAGACCTCTCTGTCTTTTTTCTTGTGTTTACCGTCTGTGCTCACTGTCCTAGCCTCAAACTCATTACGTACATATGATTCAGTTGAGAATACTGTATTGTATTGAAATACTTTCTGTCCCAGATCAGATTCCTTCTTACTTTATTAGCAGTTATTAGCATAGCACTTAAAACCACAGGAATGATATTTTTTAAAAAGTCACATTTTTAAATATTTAGGTGCTTCCTAGCTATATGGTTCTGAATATATTGTTTAAAAGGTCTACAGTATTGTCACTGTGTTAAAAACTATAAAATGCCTTCACTTTATTTGTGAACAGTGTTGGCTGTAGAAAGAAATAATAGAAAATTATCTGAAATTTTGTTACTGGTTTGAAAACCACTCTGAGTTATTCCACACGGGCAGATGAAATTAGCCATCGAAATAAAGCCCATGGTTAAAATCAGGCCAGCTTCTGAATGTGCATAGTGTTTTCACAAGGTCTTTTTTGATATGGACCAAACCAAAATGACCTTCAATACAGGCAAAGAAGACCCTGTCTCTCATGCTTTTAAAAAGTACCTAGAACTTGAAAGCAGACATCTTATGCTATTCCTGAGCTTGCTTCCACGGAGAGACTCCTTTCTCTCTGGAGTTCTCTGGTGAAGGGAGTTGGGTATATTCCAGCGTCAGCTAGTCATTAAACAGTATTTACTTCTGCTCCCATGGGGAGGCCTGGTGGCAGGGGTTCTCAACCTGTGGGTCACAACCCCTCTGGGGAGTTGTTTATCGGGTATCTTGCATATCAGATAACATTACCATTTGTAACAGTAACAAAATTGCAGTCATGAAGTAGCAATGAAACAATTTTATGGTTGTAGGGTCACCACACTATGAGGAACTGTGTTAAGGGTCACCGCATTAGGAAGGTTGAGAACCACTACCCTCTGGGAATTCACTCCCTCCTTCTCATCACTTCCTACCAAAGGCCTCATCTGCTAGATATTTTATATATTTGAGGAGGGTGTATTTATTAGCCTAAAATATTTAGAGTATCTACTGAAATATAAGAGAAGATCAAATGAGAATTTTAGCTTTGAAGAGCTTACAGCCTATTTGTTAAGATAAGTACATGTGAAAAAAAAGAGCATGCTCAGTACAATATTAGAGATTTGGGTAGAAGATGAAGGATTGGGCTATGCAGTCTCAGTGACTCATTAGATTGTTGTGGCAAATAGTGTTTTCCGTGTCTGATGCCACAGAAACCCAAAAAGAAAGAAAATCCTGGAATACCTTGAGCTAGGTCTTGGATTTGGGGAGGACTGTGGATGAACAGAGAGATGTAGGGATGATGTTTTGCCAGTGGGTTGAGTGGGAAAGGGGAAGAGAAGACGGCCTGAGAAAGAAGAAAGACAGCTGCTGGGTTGCTGGACTGAGCTATTATTAGAGTGTCAGGTGTCCAAAGGAGATCCATAGCTGAGGAAAACAGACACATGATTTACAGGATGGGCTCGTATGAGACTTTTATGAGACTTCAAATGCTAGGCGAAGGAAATTCCAACTTTCCTTGTGTGTTCTCAGCAGCTATGGCTAAGGTTTATGAGTCAAGAAAGAAGCCAAGGGAACATGTGGGGTCAGGAAGGAGAGCAGAAAGGACCACAGGAGAGGGACACGGAGCTGTTCTGGGAGTTTCGCTGCAAAGGGCAATCACAAGGATGGAAGGGGGATATCTAGATGTTTGGAGTGCTGGCATTTCTGACAACGTGCAGATCTTGCCTTTGTGATTACATTGTGTAGAACAGATAGTGGAAGCTTTTGGAGCACAACTATGCAAGTACTTTTCGCCCCTTTGCATCAAAACTGTAGTCTTTTGCAAGCTTTGAAGGACAGCTGTCATAACGGTATGATTTTCGGTCAGCATACCTTCTGCCTGAGCGACGCTGATTTCTTACATCCCCACTTCCCAAAATGTTCCCTTTGGGAAGAACATTCTTTGTGGATTTGGGTTTTTTCCATCCTCTGCATGGGGTTTCATGCATCTTCCCCACTAAGTATAAATGAGACTCACTTAGAAAATGAAATATAAGGAGTTGGCTACAGAAACCAGGTTAGTCAGCAGAATACATGGAAATCCTGTATCCAAGAAATCAAGTTGATGCTTGAAGTTGTTTCCTGGATGGTTGGCTAACCTCTGCCTGGTTTGGAGCACTGGTACTCCTGGTTTGGCAGATGACGGGAGATAACAAAACTGTTTGAACAGGATGCTGTCTGCTGTCAGATAACTCAGATTACTTAATATGAGAGCCATCTGCTGTCATTAGAGCTGAGTGAAATTCGATTTGCGTTCCTGAACCGAGGCAGTGGTCGGTGTGTGGGAGGGGGAGGAGGATATTTATGACAGGTAATTAATTTTGACAGAGATTTAAAGTATTAAGCTTAGATTTTCTAAATGTTTGCCAAGACGACATAATGCATGAGAGGATGCCTTTTACTCCAATGCCAGGATTCACTCTTGGGTATTCGTACTCAAAGGAATGTTCTCTCGGATTCTGTGTTAAGACACTAGAAAGCCTCCCCAACTCTTTCATTCTAGTCATCCCTAGAGACTTCAGAAACAAAAACATCATCATTTATTTCCAACATTTTTAGCCACTTGGCTATGGATTGGTGCCTGTCTGTCACCTCATTTTACCAACTAAATTATGGAACTTGGCTCCAACTCAGAACTTTACAACTAGGCTTTACATTTAAGCTTGTCCTCAATATTTTTGGGAGAACTGCCACTTTTTGCCTCGGAGATCCGTATGTTGGTTAAGCAGATGGCTTAGTGATCTGGCTCATGTAAGTTATATATTATTTTCCAAGAACCTAGTTGCCGAGAAGGGGCAGGGCATGTATTGATGCTAACGGGTCCAGGTACACATGAGTCCGGGTGAGCTTTGTGGTCCATTCTCGCCCAACACTGGTGACTGTGTTTCTTTTTGTCTGTGTGCTGCTGTGGCAATGGTTTGTACAGAGGAGATGGGGGCATTGCAGAGGACAGGGCCATCTCTTGCTTGCCTCTAGATTTCCAGGAGCTTCCAGCCTAGGGTCCTGTCTGAGCAGGGGCTCCACTCACTTGCCTCTGGGTTTGTGTGTGTGTGCACGCGCGCGTGTGCATGCGTGTGTGCGAGTGTGTGTGTCCGTTCTCTAGATTACTTGACTATAGATAACAAAGGGAGAACAGAGAGACTGGGAGTGCAAGGAGCTTTCTTGAGAGTTTGTGATCTGGGGTGAGAACAAGATGAAAAGCAGAAGATTATACACACACACACACACACACACACACACACACACGTTACTATGTTCTGCTTTACAGGCACAGATCAAATATTAACATGCTGGGAGCTCTCACACTTCCTTACCTTCACTGTGGGGCATTTCATCATCAGCATTGCCCTAGCTTTACTTCCCACGAACACAGTATCCATTTATCACTTTCATTATTCAAAGCCCAGCACATGGCCATACTTGACTGCCTCGGTTTTCCTTGTATCTAAATTCACCTCTGCTTCCTCTGATTTCTTCTTTCAACCTCAGTTTTCCCTGCACACACACACACACACACACACACACACACACACACACACACACACGGGTCAGTCTCTCCTTGTATTCCCTGAACTGGGTTGTTTTCGCCAAGCTTACCTCTGTGGTCTGTATACTTGACATTGTTACTGTAATATGTACATTGAATCCAATCCCCACATGAGTTTATGGCGGTGGTTCTGCTCATTCATTCTCTCTTTAAATTGTAAAAACTGTTCTTCCATTTTCTATGGCATGCTGTGAGAATTTCAAGTAAAATGGCTGTCTTATGTAAAATCATGGCATGGAGGACTGGGGAAAGATGAAGCTTGGATGCAGACTAAGGCAGCTGGGGTAATTTGTAAGTTCCTAATGAATAGAAGTGCTGTGGGATGGTCTGTATGTCAAATTGTTCTGATTGGTCAATAAATAAAACACTTATTGGCCAGTGGCCAGGCAGGAAGTAGGTGGGACAAGGAGAGAGGAGAATTGTGGGGAGC